CGAGGGAGGGCGCGCGGCGCGCCGCAAGGCCCGGGTGGTGCACATGCTGGTCATGGTGGCGCTGTTCTTCTCGCTGTCCTGGCTGCCGCTGTGGACGTTGCTGCTGCTCATCGACTACGCGGAGCTCAGCGAGCCGCAGCTGCACTTCATGTCGGTGTACGCCTTCCCCCTGGCTCACTGGCTGGCCTTCTTCCACAGCAGCGCCAACCCCATCATCTACGGCTACTTCAACGAGAACTTCCGCCGCGGCTTCCAGGCCGCCTTCCGGGCCCAGCTCTGCCCGGCACAGTGGGGCAGCCATCATCATCAGCAGGCCTACACCGAGCGGCCTGGAGGGTTCCTGCGCAGGCGGGTCCTGGTGGATGTGCAGCCCAGCGACTCTGGCCTGCCATCCGAATCCGGGCCCAGCAGTGGGGGTCCTAAGTTGAGCCGTCTCCCTCTGCGCAATGGGCGAGTGGCCCACCATCAGGACGTGCCCCGGAAAGGACCGCTCACCATCCCAGCCTGGAACATCTGAGAAGATCCAGGGCTGGTACAGGCCGGCCTGTGGCTCCCAGTGTGTAGGAGAGCGTGCTCGGGTGCCTCCTGCTCAAAACCAAGGCAGTGTCCAGCTGTTGACGATGGCGTCTTTGCTGCCACACCCTCAGATAGCGGCAACGAAGGAGAGAGAGCGCTAACTATCCTCCAGCCATTTGTGTTTTCAACCGAACAACCCTCATCTTTTTTGGTGCAGTCCTGGGGCTTGAACTCGGGGCCTGGGCTCTGTCCATGAGCTTCTTTTGCTCAAGGCTAGCGTTCTAGCCCTTGAGCTACAGCTCTACTTGTGTTTTTTGTTGTTGTTGTTTTGTTTTGTTTTGTTTTTTGTTTTTTTTTTTAGTAGTTTATTGGAGGTAAGAGTCTCATGGACTTTCCTGCCCAGGCTTTGAGTTCGAATTGTGATCCTCAGATTTCAGCCTCCCAAGTATGCTAGGCTTACAGGCATGAGTTACCGGCACCCAGCTTGAGTGGACTTTATCACCCTTCTACTAATGCAGAAACTCATGCCTAGAGAGGAACAGTGAATAAGCAAGGTCACTCAGTTGGAAATCCTCCTTGAACCAGTTTCTCTGCTTTCAGCCAGCTCCAGTTGTCTCCTAAAGACCCCCTAAGGTGGAGGCACAAGGAAATAAATAAATCCAAACTAGCAGAAAATATCCAGAAGCCAAGGAGGCCTGTGTTTTATGCTCTGAATCACTGAGTTCTCCAAGTTCTGTAGGCTATGGTTACTCCATCTAGAACTTCTCCTGGAAGAACTGAGTATGCTGCCCCTGCCAGCTCTAATTGTAAGTTGGTCTTATTCCAAGAAATGTCTAGGGCTATTCCCTACCAAGATGTCACCATGCAGCTGGGGGCCTGGACCTCAGAAGAAAGGAAGGGACCCTGTCCCACCTCTATCTTCCAGACACAGGCAGAACTTTCAGTGTGAAACACATGAGGCATCTGGAAAGACAGCAAATACCAACTTCCCATCTTGGGAAACACATCTGTCTACTGAGGCTGCAAGTCTTCTGTAAGCAGGAGATTACTGGGAGGGAGAAGTTGGCCAAGTGAAGCTTCAGCCAGGTGCCCTTGGGGACTTTGGAAGGACAAACACAACCTCCCCAACATGTGACTCATGGACCCTGAAGAAAGAGAAGGCCCAGGGGATCCCACAATCATCCTGGCTCCCACTAATGCACCTGCATCACCTTGAGGAAGTGAGGCAAATGTCCAGGAGTTGGGAGGAAATGGCGCTGCCTGTGGTGGTTCTTGTGTGCCTCAATAATTTGCAGTGCACTAGATATTTCCTTCGTACTTCTGTTACCAAAATTGCTGGAACTTTAATGACCAAAAAGAAAAACATTTTCTGGGAAAGGGGATGAGGTGGGGGACTCAACACAGGATGACTTGACTCTGTTTATTCCACACTAAGTATTATAACTATGTGGGGGCTGGAAACACCTTAGTAGTCATGTGCCTAAGCATGTCCCCTGACTCTGTCGCTTAACCCACACAAGTGAGGCTGAAGGAAATGTTGTTCTTGCCAGTTCACAAACCGAATAACTGAAGCCCAAAAGGGCCAAGATCACAGGGATACCAGAGGCAGGATTTACATGAGAATTTCTCTTCTGGAATGTTCTTTGTGCACTGTGTTGTGCCTTTCAGGGAAGGTTGGTGTGGCTGGGAGGAACACTAGAAATCTTCATATGTTTCCTACCTGTTGCCTCTGAACACCTGTGGAGCTGGAAGCCTGGTTCCCAGGCATTTGTTTGTTCTGGTAACTACTGGCCTGGGCTGCTCTGTGCAGTGTCTGCCCCGTGCACAGTGTCTGCCCCGTGCACAGTGTCTGCCCCGTGCACAGTGTCTGCCCCATGTGCTGAGCAGGCTACCAAGCTCCTGTGAGTCTGGAAATACTAGCTAAGGGTCTCAGAGAGGGTATGTCATGTTGTCCACCTCTCAGTAGCCCTGGCTGGCAGCCTACATGGTTAGTGTCTTGTGTCACATAGGCCTGAGAATTGCTGGCTGTTTACTGGGAAGAATTTTGACTCCAGGCTCTAAAAATAGGCCAAAGAGCCATGTTGAACCCATATACTTGTCCTTGAAGCCAGCTAGGAGTTGTCTGAAACACATCTGGCCTCTTTCTGGGAGTCTTTCTTCTTTAAACTGGCCTCCCCAAAGCACAAAAATCACAGCTTTTCTAAGATGAAGAAACTAAGATGCTTTCCCAAACCAGCCTTTCCACAATACTTCTTCGCTTTTCCCAAAGATAACATGTCCTGAGAGATTGTGAATGCCAAAGAAATGCATAGGTCTCAAGTAATATATTTTGCTATTTATTTTTATTTTTTATTGTCACTATAAAGGTGATGTACAGAGGGATTACAGTTACATAAGTTAGTAAAGAGTACATTTCTTTTTGAACAATGTTACTCCTTCTCTTGCCATCTATTTTGCTATTATCTTTTCTTTCTTTCTTTTAAAATCAGAGCCCCAGTATGGGAGCATATGCCTGCAATCCCAGCACTTAAGAGGTGGATGCAGAAGAATCATGAGTTGAAGGCCAGCCTGGGTTATTTGTATTTCAGAGGGCTTTGTGACTCATACCTACAACCCTAGATACTCAAAGTCAACCTGGGAGGAAACATCCATGAAACTTCCTCTCTAAAATAAACAGCAAAAAGCTGGGCTGGAGGTCTGGAGTAAGTGATAGAGCACCAGCTCAAGGCCCTGAGTTCAAATCCTGATACCAATAAAAATTAAAACAGGGCATACCTGCCTGTCCAGAGACTTGATCTAAATAATGATAGGTACAACTTGATGTTTTTTTTATGAATCAGTGAGGCCTAGGGGGTCTGTTCGGAGATTGTCTGTTTCTTTGTGTATGTGATAAAATATACACAATGTACAATTTACCTTTTGAACCATTTTTCAGTGCACAGTTCAGTGTCATCATTCACAGTAGGGTAAATTTCTAGCACTATCTGATCATCTCAAATTGCATTTCTGTTCCCATTAGATAGGAGCTCCCTGTTCCCTCCTCCCAGCCCTGGCAATCATGATTCTGCTTTCTATCTAATCTGGTTCTTCTACATACCTTGTATAAGTGAAGTGGTACAGCAGCTTCCCTCCTGTCACTGCTTTGCATGCTTTTCAAGGTTTTTTCCTGTTATAGTACATGTCAGAATTTCCTTTTTTAAGGCTAAATGATATTCCATTGTGTGTCTATTACCCATGGACTCCTGCTTGGTTGACACCTTCCTACGATCACAAATATGTGAGCTTTTACATAATGAAGTGATTCTTGAAAACATTGCCTGGATGGAGGACACAGACTCCAAGATTTCTTCCAACCTGGAAATGACAGGTGATCCAGCAGAGACTCAGGAGACAGTTGATGTGTGTGTGACTCCCCTGAGCCCATCCCAGCTGCTCAAAGTTTCCCTCCCCAAGCTTTCCTGCCTGACTAGAAAGGCTAAAATATTGTATGATCTATCCATGGTATGTTTTTTTGGGAACTGTTTTTTTGTTTGTTTGTTTCATTGATTGATTGATGGATGGATTGATATTTTGTCATTCATGGGGCTTGAACTCTGTGCCTGGGCACTATCCCTAAGCTCTTCAGCCCAAGGCAAGCACTCTAACACTTGAGACATAGTGTCACTTTATTGGAGATAAGAATCTCATGGACTTTCCTGCCCAGGCTGGCTTTGAACCATGATGCTCAGATCTCAGCTTCCTGAGTAGCTAGGATTACAGGTGTGAGCCACTGGCGCCCAGCTAGGAACTGTTTTTATAATGATAACTTCTTTGTCCTCCCTGAATTTCTGTGTCCTGACACCTGGGACCAGCGAGAAGTCTTGTTCAACCATGGCACTAAGGAAGGACAGGCCACAGGCCATGTAGGCCTCTCCTGATCAGCCATCCTCTGCCTGTGGCAGGGCTGGGTCTCCTGAGGTGAGTTGGGAGATGAACTGAGCCTGGGATGGGCCACAGGCCTGTTGACACCAAAGCCTCACCCAGAGGCCCTGTTGGAGGGACGCCGTGTCCTGTGGTGTCTTACTTGCGAGTCTCCATTGATGAATAGGCTCTTGACTTCCTGAGACCATGCATAACCTACTGACCAATGTGCGATGGAGGTGGGTGCCGCCCCAGCCCACAAACCACAGTCTGCCCAGCCTTAGGCGCTGGCTTTCTCTTGGAGCCTGGAAGACGCATGAGTTGACTTGAGTTGGAATGGAAGGCAGAGTTGGCAAAGGAGAGCGAGAGTCCCCTATCAGTAATCTACTGTATATTCATCCACACACACAGGTGAGAGCTGAGCCAAGGCAAGGACTAGGAGAACAAAGCATTGCTATTAAGCTCTGTACCTTTCTGCCTCCGTTTCCTCAGCTCACCCCTCAGAAGTGCCACAAAGGAAAGACAGATGACAGCAGTAATATACGGGCATCATGACAAGCAAACAATGTTGAAGCAAAATAGATTCCTTGTTGAATAACACAATTACTGGGTTTTTCTCCTTCCTCTACAAAGCACCATATAATCATTGTAAAAAGTTTATAAAATTGAGACAAGCAAAACAGGAAAATTTAATGCACCAAATCCTGACACAAGACCCCTGCAGTCAGCATATATTTTGTGGCTTTAACCTCACTCATCCTCAGTATCTTCAGTGAGTATTTGCAATTTTATCCAGGTCACCATCAGATATTGCCATCCTCCAAAGTTCCCTCATGTTAGCCAGAATCACTCCCATCTGATGTCAGATTGTTGTGTCCATGGAATCAGACGTATTGTAGCATTTACAAGTTCATTCCTTCTCATTGCTAATTAGTATTCCATGTGTGCATGTGTGTACACACATTTTATCTATTCATTTAGTGATACCCCGTTGGGTTGTTATTAGTTTTAACTAGTATGAATAATATTGCAATGAATATGTCATATACAAGTCCTTGTATGTATACATGTTTTCAGTTATTTTAGGCAAATACTTGGTATAAGAAACTGCTGAAGTGTCTTCCACAAGTGTTACATGGCTTTGTTGTGGGTTGG